TTGTTTTACACAGAGCACACAAAGAGGTGAATTGACCAGGTTAATTTTAAATAGATGGGTCTGCAAGTAGTCATGTCTAGTAATTATTCTAAGGCAAGCAACTCCCTCGGTCCCGGTAAGGAGGGAAAGGTGAGAGCGCTGCTGGTCATCAAGAAGGCTAGCCCAGGATTTTCCATCAGCTAAGTCCCTAAGAGCAGATATTGTTCGGTCTCTGAATTTACTCTTAAGAAGACGCCTTGCATTTCTAAAGGGAACTGGATGAGAAGGTGGGTGCAATGCTGAAACCTCTCTAGCCAACATGTCAGCCCGTTCATTTCCGTAAATGCCACAATGGCCAGGGATCCACTGGAGGACTACCTCTCTTCCAGAACAAAGAAGAGAGTCGATGCGTTGTTTACACTTAAATTCAAGTTCAGAGGGGTATAAATTATATTCAGAAATGGTTTGAATAGCCGCCTGTGAATCGACAAAGATAACAATGTTTTGTTCAGATGGTTCACCAATAGCTGTAATAGCCATAAGGATTGCAAATATTTCTCCATCAAAATTATCTGTCCGAGTGTCAAGAGGATCTCTAAGGCTGAAATATTTGGAGTAAGCACCGGCTCCAGCTCTACTGTTAAAAAAGTGGCCGATCTATCAGTAAAAACCTGCAGCCATTCCTGGCAAGGGTATCTCTCGTGTATAATCGCCAGAGCAATAGGATACAACTCGGTCTGGTGGAAGTCCGATTTCCGAACAGGCAGTACCAAGTTAAATCTGGCAGTGGCATATCTCAGAAGGCCCGTAAGAACAGGCGGTCTATAGATGCAACATTTGGAGTTGGAAACTTCAAAGATCTCTGCAAGTCTCCATAATATAACATGAAAAACCTATTTAAACTTTTCATTCCATAGTTTTAAGAATCATATTACTTCAAACATTAAAATATGCAAAAAGTATACATAAGCTCATTTTCTATTATTTAATTTTGCAAAAAGAGTTTTTTGACAATAGTTTTTATCAAAAAATTTTAAGTTTCGATAGAAGTCATTATTTAGAAACTAAAAAGCGTAAAATAAAGAATGCTTACGAAACAAAAAAAACGATTCTAAAAATTCCTCACATTAAAAAAAAAAACTTTCACGTTTCTTTTTGTTTCTTTTGTTATTCATAATCGGACGCAGAAAACCATTCTATAGAAAATTACCATTAAATTTTTTAAAAAAAATTATTTACAAGTAAAATTTTTTATTATAAAAATTGTAACACTTACCTGCCTTATAAATCCAGAGAATTCCAAAATGATATGTTCTTCATTTGAAAACTTTATTCTTAAATAATATATACAAAGATTATTCCATCATTACTTTAAGATGACATACCAAAAAATAAAATTTTATAATTGTAAGATCTCGATATGAATTTCAATACGTAACTTAAAAAGAGAATAGCTGAATTCTAGTTGAAATTAATCATTTTCTCAAAATTGAAAAATACCTACTAAGAAAACGATAAAAATTTATTAATAATCAATATAAATTATATTATTTTAAGTACTTCGGATGGTTATTTATTGTTGTTTTCCGAATTATATAGATTCAGAAATATATACTATTCTAAAACTATTACAGTTCTGCATGTTCTGAAATTGCATTTGTTCTTTGGAATAAAATAAGTAATGTCCACTTCACTTTAGTTTGTAATGAACTGAAAACAAAAAATTTATTTTACTGTAATACACGCATCTGTAACAGTATGGAAATTATCGGTTGCAAGTTTGTTGATAATAGAAAGATAAAAATTATTGAGAAATTTCTTCAAATATTGGGCTCGTTCTGAAAGGTTTGCCAATGTACTGGGTCTTTTTTTTCAAGTTCTTCTGCCGTTTCCTTAGGAAAATTTTACTTCTTATTTGCTACTAAGAAAATGGCATCAGACTTTACCAACGATTATGATAGAACTTAATGCTTGATATTTTCAGGATCCAGCTAGAGAGTACTGAAGCGTTGCGATCGCGAATTGTATGTCTTTTATTTCAAGTTGAACCTTTTTATTTAAATAACTTATTATTGTCAAAAAATTTTAATTCCTTATAGAAAAATTAAAGAATTTAATAATTGATTTAACTTCTTAAGATATTACATTAGAACATAATTAAAACGGTTTTAACTTAGTCTTGTGCGAAGTCAGCATGGTAAGCAAAGAAAACCATAGAAGATTGCATTGCAATTTTTGGGGTTAGAGAGCTACAGCAAAGCCTACTAGTATATTCGTCGAAAAGAGGTATTGTAAGATTCAAAAAAATTAGGTTAGCTTAAGCAATAACATAAACCAAGATGTAGATTAAAAAAAGCAGGGGACATTTTTGAAACTGTTTTGGAGTTGACTAATTCAGGCCGAGTTTGTGTGAGCATGTGTAATGAAGCCCTTACGGAAAAATATAGTATTTAGTTTTTGCTAAGAAATGTGGACTATTGGTTATGGAATAAGAAAATGAAGAAGTTTGAATTATATCATCACCTAAATAATTTCCTGCAGTTAAACTAGTTCTGATGCCACAGTATGAAAATTACCTGAACGGATGGAATTTTTAAGGTTTGGTTTTCTTAAAAATGATTAAAAGCTTCCTGATATTTAAATAAATGTCAATTTTTATATTAACTGGATCTTCAACTTAATGCTTGGTACAGTATGTTATTTAAATAAAGTATGTTTTTTTATGTTGTCACGTAACTTACATCACCTGAAATAACAATCACATTAGGTCATTAAGACTGACTATACTAATATAAAGTGCTTCATATTTTTCATTTTTTTATTTTGCGCAATGTACAAATCATTTTTTATTGTAACAGTAAAATGATTGTAATGTGATCATTTTATATTCCTTTATCGTATTCTTTTAGGAATATAAAGATCAATTTTTAGTAAAAGGAAACTATAATATAATATTAGTCGATTGGACTTGGGGAAATCTTCCAGATCCGAATGGTGCAGTTATAAATTCTTACGTTGTTGGAGAGCAGATGGGTTTTGTAATCAAGAATATTATGGTAAGTTGACATTGATGTTGTGACTCTGGTTGCATTTGTAAGTTAAGGTTGTTTATTCTAGTTGCAACTGTAAGTTGAAGTAGTTATTCAAATTTTTTGATTAATCAGTATAATAGTATATGTGTGATAAAGTAATTATTCTAGAAATATAAGGAATGTAATGAAATATTGTTTGAGGTTAAATCATAAAAAGGATTTGTTCTAAAATATTATTAATTATCCAGTATTTCATTTAGTCGTTACATGACGCCAAAATATTTTAATTACTTTATTTAAGTTAAAATAGCTAAATTAAAAGGTGTGTAATATATTAACCATTTGATATTAAAAGGGAATTCTGATAATTTTTTTTTTAAATTTTCAAAAAGAAAATTATTTTTTGAATTTTACCTAAAACCTATAGGAATTTCGCTTAAAACTAATATTGCGCCAGATGGAGATTGAGACTGATAGTTAGATGAGTGCAGAAGAAAATTGAAATATCAAACAAAAATTGAAAACAAAATGCATTCATTTTTAATTAATTTAGAAATTTACATAAAATAGTTTAAGATTTATTTATAATAGTTAGAGGTTTCCCAGGAAATTCGAGTCTTAACTTTGAAATAAATAAACATACTGCTGAATCAACATAAATTTTCGAGAACATTTTCTAGAAAATGTTCAGAACTATGAAAACCCACGTCCTTTTTGGCAGAAGAACTTCTTCGAAGATTGCAAAAAAAAATTTGTTACGACCAGATAAAATCGCTCTCAGCATCGAAATAGTTTGACAGCTTGTTGAGAATGATTCTCACTTATATTTTCGAATATTTTCATGAATGTCAGTAAATTTCTTGTTCAGGTAAAAACTCTATTTCATGAGAAGGAGGCAATTTTCCATAATCTATCATCCGAGCCCCTGTAATTTAGAGAATTTTTGACAGAAAAAAAAATTAAGCCACACACCTAAACTGAAAAATTAATAATTATTTCTTGCTCCATAGAGGTGTGAACTTGTTATTGCTCATTGTATTACTTACAGTAACTAAAAAAAAGCACCTAATTAAATTTTTACTATTCTCTTTACTAGGATTGGGCGATATAAGAAATTTTATATCGTGATGCATTGTCAGTTTTGCATCGCGATATGGTATTATTGAAATTCATTTACTTGTAAGGCGCAGAAAGTCGGATTTCTATCAAAACTTCATACTCAGATTGATTTAAATCAATTTATGAATTATATGTATATGTTTTGCTTAAGAAAGATATTAATGTTATATTTTCTAAAAATGATCGCGCAAATAACGGAAGATTTCTTAGTTTAAAAATAAATAATAAAAAAATAAATAAAATTGAAATTTATCAATATATTTACCTAACAATATAGAAAGAAAATTTAAAAAATAAGTTCGTTACAAATTATTTGAATGCTCAAAACAAAGTGCTAAATAAATTAAACAAGAAAAAAAAACACTTTTGAAACAACACTATTTTTTATCATTATTATTTCACATAAATAATAAAGTTAAATTGAATAACCGAATTCTGAACGAAAAAACAAAGTAAGGTTTAATTTCTTAAAAATAAAAACGAAAGAATTATGATATTCGATAATATATTCTACTGACAATATTCAAAGAAAATTAAAAAACACGATTATACTCTTTAATATAACGAAATGCTAAATGATTTTAAAAAAAGAAGTCGCAATCGCAAACATTAATAATTTTTTTGAATAAACAAAGTTGATTGACTTATGCTCAAATCCAAAAGAGGAAAAATAAGTTTTGTTATAATTTCATTTATAAAAATGAAAACAACTAAAGATTTATAAATTTAAAATCAGTAATAAAAACCTATTAAATTATTATTTTATCCAAAAAGTTTTCAATAAATCAAAATAAAGTAAAAAATAGCCTAACAAATTTAATTATTTTTTAATTTAATTCTTTATGGGCACCTTAAATTAGATTTCTGTTTGTAATAAATTCAATAACGTAAAATAATACTTAAATATATAATATCAAAATTAATTTTCACATTTAAAAATAAATAAGAAAGTTTTGTTTCAAAAAAAAAATTTACCTAATTAATTAAGAAACACTTCTTTATATATTCTTTTTAATAATAGATTACGTTTAGAACGGCGATCACAAAGTCAGTCCCACTGAAAATAATCTACAAGAAACGATATCAAGTCGCGACAAAGGAGAAAAAAAAAATAAGAGGTGCGGAAACAAACATGCGAGATCACGATATATGTTCTCAAAACTGATTCTGATTCTACCGCTCGTCAATCAAGGTCGTTTCAATATAACGATACGTACATCGTCTTTCCCAGCGCGAGTTGGCATCAGAACGTAAGAGATCCTTGCGTCTCTTGTATCGCTATATCGTTCGTCTTCTTTACTCGACGGCTTAAATCAGATTTCTGATGCATCGCCTGGAACGAAAGTCGCTGTATCGGCCTGCAGATACAGGCATTAAATCGATATGTCGCGATATATCGATTTATAGCCCAGTCCTACTCATTACCTTTAAAGCTGAAATAATTTTGTTGCAGCATTGTTTTTTAGAAATTTTACATATATAGCACAAAGAGTAGCTATTAGATTTCAAATGTTAAAAATTTTTTGCATAATTTTATATAATATATCTTATATATATTTTTTGCATTATCTCCCTATACCCGAAGTAGAATGTGCAAATAAAAAGTTTAAACTTTTATTTAATTACTTAATTGAAGAATTTAATCTTTAAATATAGATATTTTGTCAACAATTATTGGAGTGTAAAATATTTTGCCTACATTCTTTTTTAATGTATTTCATAGATTTCATGTTTTTTTAATTTCCTCTCCATTTACTTTGATTTAATGCAAGATAAATTAATAACTATGCTTTGTAAATCATTCTGTAGTTATCTAAAAATGATAGGGTATACTTTGTGTTAAGTAAACCAAAGCTTANAAAAAAAAAAAAAAAAAAAAAAAAAAAAAAAAAAAAAAAAAAAAAACAGCGTGGATAAAGCATTAATGAAAGTTAAGAAATGGACATACTATAATTTCAATTCTATAAACAAGTCCTTCCTCAGTGTCTAAGAGCAGAACGATAATAGAGCACTAAAGGAATAAATACGTGCAAAATTGCTTAACTAATAGGTATAAAGGAAGAAGTTTGAGCAAGATAGGAAGCAGGTATAGTAAGGGGGAACAAGATAGAAGATCAATACCCAGGGTACAAAAGATAAAATTAAAATAGATTTCGAAATATTAGGAAACTGTGGAATGCTAGAATGATAATTAACTAAATTATTAGAATTTTTCAAAATATGGAATGATTCCCCGATATTAAGTTCGATAGATAAAGAGAAGTGTTGAATGATCATAACAACAAAAAAAAAACTCAAACCCGTGATCATAATGCCAGTTATATAGAACGGTGGAAGATCGATGAATATCTTGATTATGGACTTATCTTTTGTGTTCTTTAAGTCAAAATTTAAAGGTACGTTTAGTGTGTCCAGTATAGACAAGACCACATTGACACGAAATTCGATACACACTGAAGATATTTGACCCGATTGCTGAACCTAAGATATAGCATGCCACGTTTCTGTACTTTTATTTTTGCTTTATTCACGTTGTTAATTTGCTTTAGTCATTCTACTATTGGATACTTGAAACTCGATAAGAAGAATAGGTGATTTGGTTTAACCATGTCACATTGTTAAGCCTAATCACGTCGTTATGCTTGGCCAGTAAATGTCCCATCATATTAGCTTCTGAATTGTGGCATAAGTCAATGGCAAGATTTTCTCACGATGACGTCGCTTGCAGTAATTCCAATTAGCTAAAAATTGTCTTTACATACATCAGTAGGAACAACTCAAAAATAATTTTAAAAATTAAGGTTCTGTTTCTTTTTCTGGTGAATCAATGTCAAAGCAATATGTTGCAAGAGTTTTCTAAAAATAATGCAACTTAGCTGCACTGTACAAAACGAAGCAATTATGTTTCAGATGATGTTTAAACTACATGATTGAAAAAATATAATAATGTTGCAATATTTTTTTCTCCGAAATCAAAGTGTTATCTATACAAGAAATTAGAGTGTAGCAGTTGTATTCTAACAAATGTGTAAAAAAATCTCGTAGAATCTTCTATAGTGTTGAAACGAGAACTTGCAAGAAATTGTTACTAACAATGAAACATTTGTTTCTTAACGTTTAACTTATAATTTATCACAAATCGCAGCAATTATGTTTTAGATGTGTTAAAAATCGCGTGGCATATACCCTAAAAATCAATAATAAAACATTTAATTGCAAAAAACTAGTTTTTAACTTTTTTAACTAACAATGAAACTGAAACATTAAATTGACACTATTTAGATGAAAAATTAAGAATTGTATTCAAAAGTGTTTATACTTTCAAATACAACTTATATTCGTATTATGAAATATCACATATTTAATTTCCTTAATTTGTTACAATTATTTTATATTCTAAAATATTATTTATTATTTTTCTAGTTGCAAAATAATTACGAAGATGGTTCGAAATTTTACCTTATTGGTCACAGTGCTGCTACGTATGCAATGACTACGGCTTGCAAATTTATAAGGGAGTGGAAATCAAGTCATAAAATCAGAAGAATGACATGTACGTATTGAAAATTGCATCATGATTTCTCTGTATTATCCATATAGGTTATATGATCATTCAAAATTTAAAGAACTTACTTATTACAGAATAAATATTAAAAACTAAAAGCAAACTTTCAAAAAANAATTATGTTTCAGATGATGTTTAAACTACATGATTGAAAAAATATAATAATCTTGCAATATTTTTTTTCTCCGAAATCTAAGTGTTATCTATACAAGAAATTAGAGTGTAGCAGTTGTATTCTAACAAATGTGTAAAAAAATCTCGTTGAATCTTCTATAGTGTTGAAACGAGAACTTGCAAGAAATTGTTACTAACAATGAAACATTTGTTTCTTAACGTTTAGCTTATAATTTATCACAAATCGCAGCAATTATGTTTTAGATGTGTTAAAAATCACACGGCGTATACCCTAAAAATCAATAATGATCTATCTAATTGTAAAAAAACTAGTTTTAACTGTTTTTACTAACAATGAAACTGAAACATTAAATTGGCACTATTTAGATGAAAAATTAAGAACTGTATTCAAAAGTGTTTATACTTTCAAATACAACTTATATTTGTATTATGAAAGATCACATATTTAATTTATTAATTTGTTACAATTATTTTATATTCTAAAACATTATTTATTATTTTTCTAGTTGCAAAATAATTACGAAGATGGTTCGAAATTTTACCTTATTGGTCACAGTGCTGGTACGTATGCGGTACCTACGGCTGGCAAATTTATAAGGGAGTGGAAATCAAGTCATAAAATCAGAAGAATGACACGTAGGTATTGAAAGTTGCATCATGATTTCACTGTATTATCCATATAGGTTATATGATCATTCGTCATTTAAAGAACTTACTTATTGCAGAGTAAATATTAAAAACTAAAAGCAAACTTTCAAAAAATTTTGATTTTAATTCCCATTTTAGTTTTCTGATTTCAACTTTATTTTTTATGCTTTTTATTAATTTTCTTTTACGTTTGCATTTTATAATAACTTAATGATTGCATATGAATAATTAAAAGGAAAAATAAATGAAAAAACATAAAACAATGTTTTTCTTAACTGAATTTCCATTTTTAGTTCCCAAACACATGTATGTTTGTAACAAATGTATGTATGTTAATTTCCTTTTGAATATGATTATTTATGAGAATTGTATGTTATCTAATTTATTATTTTTAACTCACAAGTCAAACAGTAATCTTCAATTTTTATTTTATGTATTACGGTTTTATAACCTGAAGTAGCACGCTGAAAATATCAGGACTTAAAACAAGAACCGTATTATTTTTAACTCACAAGTCAAACAGTAATCTTCAAGTTTTATTTTATGTATTTCGGTTTTATAACCTGAAGTAGCACGCTGAAAATATCAGGACTTAAAACAAGAACTGTATTATTTTTAACTCACAAGTCAAATAGTAATCTTCAAGTTTTATTTTATGTATTACGGTTTTATAATCTGAAGTAGAACGCTGAAAATATCAGGACATAAAACAAGAACTGTATTATTTNACTGTATTATTTTTAACTCACAAGTCAAACAGTAATCTTCAAGTTTTATTTTATGTATTACGGTTTTATAACCTGAAGTAGCACGCTGAAAATATCAGGACTTAAAACAAGAACTGTATTATTTTTAACTCACAAGTGAAACAGTATTCTTCAAGTTTTATTTTATGTATTACGGTTTTATAACCTGAAGTAGCACGCTGAAAATATCAGGACATAAAACAAGAACTGTATTATTTTTAACTCACAAAACTTTGAACGGGAACTTGGTTATTTTGTAACAGAAATCACAAAGTTTCTTTTGATTTCATTATAGTTTTAGAACCTGGAGTATTTCACTTAAAAGATGGGGAATTCCCGCAAAATACAGCCTATCAAGAAGCCCACTTTGTTGATGTCATGCATTCAGATGGTGGAACTTGTTTCCGTAAGTAATAGTTATTCATGTAAAAAATAAATAAATAAATAAACAAAAAGCAGGAAAGTAAGGATGAGCTCAGAAGAAAATTTCCCTTTTTTTTTTTTAACTTTCTTTGAAAGAGTTTTCTTAATTAGACTGCAGTTTTCAAAAATTCATGATAGTAAATTTATGAGACAGGGCATAATCATTTCTCCCAGAATTCTTGTTTTTATATCAAAAATTTCCTGACAGATGGCTCTTCAAGCTTCATCTACCATTTTCCGTTGCTTTTTGATGTATAAAAAGTCCTTTGCCTGATTATGACATTGTGACTGATGGTGAATATTTAGAAACCACTGTCATGTGATATTCATTCACTGAAATATTTCGAAAAATGTATTATTAATTTCCAGTTATTTTTCTTTGATATTCAAGTTTAGTACTTGCAGCGCTACCTGTTGAAACATTTTTGAACTAAAATCAGGTCCATATCATCTTGTAATCTATCACAAGTTCATATAGACAAGTTTAAGAACTATTTTCTGTTTTAAAAAAATTATAATCCATCAGTTTAAGTTAAAACACTTTATATGAAAAATAAATTG